ATGTGTACATATATTAATATATCTATAGAATTTCAGAAATAATTTAATACCTTATATTATAAAGTATCAACTAATTGCACATTCAGAGGCGATTTTTCGAAGAGGGAGAGGGATGTTATGGGGTTTGTCACGTAACTGTTTTCTAACGAATTCAGTCGGCTAGTGGGGTAAATTTTAATTTTGAGAACTTTTTAAAGAAGCCAGTCGGTAATTTTTAAAAATAACTAAACCTAATTCCGATAAACAGTAAATGCTGTGCCAACTGAAAAATTACAACATTGAATCAATGTAAAATTTCACACTTCGCAAACTTAAAATAAAACATTTTGCCAACGTTGGGTTTTTGTTGTTGGAAACTGCGCATTTGTAACCAAAATGATATAAAAACAACGTTAATAACCGATGTTGTGCCGAAGTAACTCACAACATTGTTCATGTTTTTTTAGCACTTAACAATGTGCCAGAAAATTTTCACCCCGTTTGCAGTGTAAATACATGATAAACATTATTTTAGTGGATTTGAAGTGCACCTAAATAGTCATTTTAAAGCAGTTTATTGGAGTTTTGTTCATTGGTTACTTATTGAATCATTAGTAGCAGTTGTTATAAATAGTTAATCAATAAATGTGTGACATGTTAATTGTGGCAAGTTATCAGCTAGCCACTTTTAGCGGCTGCCACTAATGGTCCACTAGTAAAATGCGTATAGAGGTACACTGAAAATCAGATATAAAATGTTTGCTGGGTAGTTTTTTTAAATATTTAATGTTTTTGGTTTAGGACTAGTAAAAAGGATTTTTAACAGGTCACTTCGGAGGTGTATTTAAATACACCTTTTTAACAGGTGTTCCTATTTAAATACACTTTCGGAGGTGTATTTAAATAGGAATCCATTTTTTCTTTATATAAAACTAAATATAAAAAATAGCATTTTTCTCTTCACTCTTTATGTAGTTTCTGCCTCAATTTAAGCTTAATTTTTTATTTAATCTTTTAAAATAGTATTTCATACTTTTGCTTTACTAACAGAGATTACAAAACAAAATGACGCAATATAACTTTTGACTTCTAGATAGCTGTTATTTGAATGTTTACTTATTTATTCTTTTTATCACCCAAATTACAGCTTTTTATCACCCAAATTACAAAAAAAAAAAGGCCAAAAACTAATAGTTTATACTCTAAGTTGAAACTCTAATTTAGATTATTCTTGGAATGCTTTCTTCAATTAAATTTTTAAATATCATTCTCTGCTCTCTGGTGTTCCAGAATTCAAAGACTGGTTTTAAAGGTTTAAAATCTCCGCTATATTATCTTCTAAGTCATCGTTCCGACTTTCGATAATGATTTTTCCCCCGTAATCAAACACTGCATAAAGCTTAGCTCCAGGCGGTTGCAAATTTTCATTATTTCGTTGATAAAGCAGTTTTCCTTATTAACATTAGATATTTGAGTTGAAGTTAGGGAAAAACAAATCGGATTGCTCAGTAACTTGATAAACAGATTCAATTTGTTTTGCTAGAGGATGGTAGATTCGTCATCGATTTTAAAGTAGGAATGCACATAGTTTTTGCTGTATTTTGAAATACTAAATTTTAATGCTAATCTTCCAACAGCGTCTAATTTATTAAGAAAATTATTGCTATAATCACAAATTTCTAATCTATATGTTAGATTTGGTAGAGCCTAAGATTTGAACAAATGCACTATAGTTACTGGTTGAAAAAAACGAATTCCAGATTTTATAAAAGCTCTGGAGATTGATTGAAATTGAATAATTCTTTCGTTTACATTTGCTGATTGGATTGTAGCTATATTTTGTCAATGGCCTTGATTCTCCCATAGGAATCCGAGGTGTTTTAGTTTATTATTGAGTTTCAGGAAAAAACCGTTAATTTGTATTATGTTTTTTTGTAACTAAACTTTTACCGGAGATAATGAACTCGGTTTTTTCTGTGTTTAATTTGATATAGAGGTTTTGATATTGCGTTTGAACTTTATAAATCAACTCATGTAGCCCAGAAAGAGTAGGACTTTGCAGGATTATATCATCTGCATAAGCAATAATACCAGTGTATAAGTCCGTTACTGTTGTTCTAAGTTTACAATCGGAAACAATTTGACTTAATATACTTTCAGTGTAAATGTTGTATAAATGTGGCAATAAAATGGATCCTTGTCGCACACCTTGAGACAAGCTGAAAATACTTGGTTTATGTCAAAGGTATGATATATTAGCTGTACCTGAGCGGTATAAATAATTGTAGTGCGCGAACTACAGATAGCGGTAAGTTTTTGTTGTAATAAAGTTTCTCAAACAGCAAATCCCAGTTACAGCTATCGAAGGCCTTATTTGCGTCTAAACTACAGATATATATTGGCGAGTTATTATTATTATAATGTTTTAATGTCTCACTCAATAGGAACTCTGCATCCAGGGTGGAGCTATTTTGCTTGAAACCAAATTGAAGAGTGGCTGTCTGATATTTCCAGACATACTTGCATGATAATATATTCAAAGCGTTTTCTCAAGATAATTGTAATATTAATACCGCCATAGTTATCTGAATTATTAAGAAATTTTTATAGGAGTTTGTTATTCGAATAATTATGGAAATTGATAAGTACTCCGGCACAGCTCCATTATAAAGGATACTCTTATAAAACTTTGAAAGCCATGTAATGAGGTTGTTTTTAGAAGAGTATTTAAGATACTCTGCAGTAATTCCACAAAAGTTACGTGATCTATTAGACTAAAGCTTACGAATACAAGATTCAATGTTGGAAGTTGATAAGAGTATTTTATTAGGTTCGACTATAAGTTGGGGAATATTGCGGTGTTCTGAATTGTTGTCAGTATTTGTGGGAGTGTTGAGAATCGTATTAAAGTTTTGTCAAAATTCTTATACAATTTCCTTTTTATCTTGTTTCTTATTTATCGTAAAATAACGAGTGTTTGGACTAGATTTAATTTTTCGGATATTGTTCCAAAACTTTTGAGGATTAGTTTTTCGAAGATATTCAATGTTTTTGGTAATTTTATTGATTTTTAGGTTATGAGCTGCTTTTACTGTTTTAAGAAATTTTTACGAGCTAGCTTGTGTTTATTAAATGAAATGGATTCCTGCGATCTGTTATAGTTACATTTTTTCCATTCCTTAAAGTGGAAAGAGAGAATGTCTTATGCATTGTTTTGATTTACTTTAAATAACAGGTGAAAATTTTATAAATAATAATTTAATTACTGTTGAAATTAAAAATTAGGAAGTCGCATTATTTATTTTTTTCTACAATTATATAAATGGCGTTGATATCTATTTGACAAAAAGTCTCTAAAAAATTTTCAATGCTAAAAAGTTTTAATGTTAAAAACTTTTTTTTTCAAATTTAGTTTATAAATTATATAATGATTGACAGTGTAGAATATACAACTGAGATCTATCAAAACATCTAATGTATAATCATTTTCATAAAAAAATGTAAAAATATTTCGACAAAGCAGAGCAATTGCTTAATTAATAGAATGACTCTTTTTAACTTTAATTAATAGAATGGTTTTATTTTCAAAATGCTTTTACTAATTACACAGTGGGCACGGGGCCTAATAAAGACGTCCATAACGTTCAAAAAAGTCCAAAACGTTCAAAAGACATTTAAAAAATTTTCTCATGTTCCGTTCACACTGGGTATTGGGAATGAATTATTATAGTGGCTTTGAAACATATATAAATGAAGACTATCATAAGCTTTGTTAAAATTTTACTTTTTAAAATAGTTTGCAAATTTATAGTGATAAGAGATTGTTAAAAATCGTGAGAATAATTATTTTCCTTTTTTTACTTTTTTTCATTGTTTATTTTTTGTGAAGTTATAAAAACTAAAAAAATTATAAAAAATAAAAACTGGAAAATGGCCTAAAATATCAATTATAAATATTCCGCACGACAAAAAAGAATTTAGAGAAAGTGATGGAAATTTCTACAGAGGTTACTTTCCATTCCACACTTTGTCTTGTTGCTATAGTTTCACATAACAGCTGCCGTTTATGGTTTTCAGAAATACAGGGTTGTAATATAAATTAATTTATACGGAAATATAAGTTAAGTTATGATGAAATATAAATGAAAATAAGAAAATCAAAATCAAACAATATATATACGAAAACATGAAGATTTGAAGCAAAATTTAAGGAATGAGTTTATTAGAATAAATTTTATGTTTTGTTTTTTTAATTTTTTTTAAATTTTATATTTTTTTATTTTTATTTTCTTATTTTATATATAAATATTCTTCTTACCACCCAGTAAATGAAGTTACAGGAAAAATACACTATATTGAAGTTACTTTATAAAACTACGACTATTAAAAGGACTTTCAAAGCTGTTAGCCTTAAGTCTAGTACTTACGTATGTATGTATAATGTTTACGTAGGCTGTATATATATACAATTGCACCGTATAACATCGTGTGCAATTTTGTCCGCTTTCTCTATGCTATCTTTCTAACACGACTAATTTTTCTTTTCATTCTAACATATCTTCGTTCTTCCCAAACTCACCTTACTCTTGGTCTGTAGAGTAGGTTATGACGCTCTTTTAGGAGCCGAAACAAGTCTCTGCGGATCTTGGTAATGAGGCCTCCACAAGGCAATTAGCTGGCGGAGGATAAATCTAAATTTTATATAATTATTTTTCTGATAAATCATTTCAAAGAGATTTTTTGCACTACCGCACAATAAGTTTGCTTATCCACATGATAAAGTTGCATAAAAGTGATAAACTTTCGCATTTTACCTTTATAAATATTTTTTATCCCAAAAAGGTGTTTTAATGGTTTGGCCTAAATTATCTATATACGCATTTTTTTGATTTACGCAAGATTTTGTGTTTACACAACTATTTTCCGTTAGCATAAATGTTGTTATTTCATAAATTTAGTTGTTAGCATTATCATTTGCTTTAACAGAAAATGGGGATTAAGAATTTATACATGAGATTTTTTTAAATTTGTATTAATGTGTAATTTTTTTTTTCCAATGAACAACATTGCATACAAGTTTATAATGTTTTAAGCAAAGACGCTGGATGTTACTGGTTTACTTGTCTTTTTCTTTTTTTTATCTTTCGAAATTTTTTTTCCTGAATTTAGTTTCTTTTGAAGTTTTGTTTTCCAAATGGCTTTTTGTTCCGTTTGATCACTTTTTGCATCTGCAAAAGAAGGTAGAGGTGAATTTGCTGCTGGAACAGTTTCTTTAGTTAATGCTTCTGTTGATTTAGTAGTTTCTTTTGCTTCTGATGATTCATCTCCTGAGGCCGTAGATCCTTCTAAGGTTTCATTTTCTTCAGTTTTGGCTAAAAAAAATATTTTTTTCTGTTATTTAAAATATTTGTTAATTTACAGAAAAATTTAATGAACCAAGGAAGTATAATAGGTAGATATAATAATAATAATAATAATAATAATAATAATATATATATATATATATATATATATATATATATATATATATATATATATAATATATATATATATATATATATATATATATATATATATATATATATATATATATATAATAGGTATAATTCTATTATACCTCCTTGATTAAACTTTAAATTTAATTTCGTAATTGTTAATTTTAGTAACTTTTACAATGTAAAAAGAGTATGAAACTTAGGAAGTTAAGAGGAATGAACTAATGTGTGAAAAAAACATTTCATCAAAATAATAATACAGTTTAAATAATTTTAACTTTATAAAATCAAACTTAAAAAAGAAATGAATCAATAAAATGTCTTAAATAATAGATAAAAACAAAAAAAAAAGCAAAAATCTTTTCCTAATAAAATTTCTTCCCATTGGCTAATGACCCTGGTTTATGTAATTTTTAATTGGGCCAGGACTGACGGTTTAGTTAGTTGACCTTCTTTGCTAAAATGTTTATATTTTGTAAAAAATTAAATTTATTCAAGTTTTTTTTCTTCTCCTAGTTACTTAAAAAGTTTTCTTCCAAGATTTTTTTATTCACAGAGAATTGTGAAAGAAACTTTAACCAGACAATAACCCCATCTTTTTTTATCATTGTCAAATAAACAGCCAGAATATCCTACTTTTCCATCCCGTAGTTAGGTTTAAGATTAGCGCAGAAATATTATAAAAAATGTTTTATGTCATAAACACATTAGTTTAAACTAATTTTTGTCATTATGAAAATAATATCGTAGTTTTTTGGCACATTCTATTTAAGCATAACACTTTGCTACAAGCTTAATTGCATAAGATTTTGTTATCAATCTTAATTAAGATTTGATTACAAGCTTGCTGCATGATATGAAAATAATTTTATTTTGTTTTTCTTTAAACTTTCAAATACCACAAAAAGACATCAGCTTATTCAAAAAGACATCAGTCTATTCAAAATTGAATTAAAATGCCATGTTTAGTATAAATCATTTCGTTAAACTATTTTTTTTTATATTTGGACCATTCGAACATACCCAGCACACATTTTGTAGTAAACTTGCAGTGAACCTATATAGACATTTTGAGCGGTTTATTTACCTATTGTTCATCGGTTACTTATTGGACCATTAGTGGCATCAGGCTGTAACTTTGAATTGATCCTATTATTATTGTAATTATTCATATTAGGCGGACCAACAGTAAGAACAGTAAGTTTGAGAGAACTAAAATAATATAAAGTAAAAGGAAGAAGTTGGAGTCACCTTAGAAATCTCAACCTAGATCTTCCATAGTTTCAGTAGTTAACGGTAAGGAGTATCACAAGATTAATTATGATGCAATAAATATTAGAAAGTCAATTTTTTTTAAAATAAAGCTTCAATCTATTTAATGTATACGTTTATAAAACGTAAATTGAACAACAGCAAAAATTAACGTCATATAAATTAGATTGTTACGTTATATAGAAACTGATTATAAAATGTTTCAAAATTTGCAGAAATAAAAAAAAAAAAAAAAAAAAAAAAACTTTGAAACTTTGTCTTTGGCGAAGTTTCCAGGTAATTTCATTCAATTTTTGAAAAAATAAATTTGACCTTAATTAAAATAACTTGCTCAAAAATAATTATTAATAAATTCAAAAAACCGAATTTGAAATTAATTTATTTTATTTTATTATAACTGAAATATAATTGGTTTTTCTTTCAAAACTTCGTTACCTTTTTATTTTCTAGCATGAGCTTTTGATGTGTTTTATATTTTTTAAAAATTGCTAAATAAGATGTTTACCAGCAGTTTTTTTTCCTGTTTCTTTTTTAATTGTTGCAGTGCCCCCAGTAGTAACAGACAACTTTTGTACCTTCTTACATTCAACAGATAAATAACAAAGCGCCAAAACTCCAAAAATTATAACTGATCGCATCTATAATTTTAAGGCATATAACATTTATTTTAAAAAATCAGATGGGTTACTCTGGCATAAAATTGAAAGAAATATCATAAAATGAAGTATATGTAATTAATAAACTATAAAAATTTTCTATAAAATATTGTAAACTTGTCTTAATAAGTAAAGACAATAATTCTTCTCAGTAAGAAGAAAAAAATATTTTATATAAAACAATTAGCTTCACAGTTGGATGAAATATACCAGCAAACTTCAGCATTACTAAATGTTATAAAAAAATATGCTATTTACATAACCATCCATGCTCATCCATGCCCATTAAGTGATGCCCATTATTTTGAAAGTAACAACGAAAAATAACTATAATTTAACAGTATCGCTTTAAGATAAAAGATATTATTAAAATATATATAATGATGAAACTACAAATAGAATCTAATGTATCAAAAATATCTTTTTTAAGAACATTTATATATTTTATATGGACATACTTTTCGAAAACCTTTTGAAAACCTTTTGAGTGATGCGAAAGAAATTTATATATAAATAAGAAAATCAAGGCGTCACTAGACATTAATAAAAAAATTAAAATAAAAAAATTGTTTTTTAGTTATACTATAAATGTTCTGTAATTTAAAAACTTAATGGTAAGTATTTTGGTTTAAAATAAAAAAAATTAATTTTTCCAATTATATTTTAAGTTTCCATTAAAATCTAGAACTGGATGAGCTGAAAAGTTTGCTTGCCAACTTTTATTATTTAATTACAAAAATTTTTTGCTCATTTCATAAATTAAAAAAACTTTTTTAACAACAGAAAGTAAAAAAAGTTATCAAAATATATGTGCTAGTCAGTATGTGAGTCGTAAAAGGCTTTTTGTTGCGCATCAAAAGTTTTGCTTAAATGTGTTTTTCTTACTTTCAAAAACGAACTTGAAAGATTTGCAAAATTTTAAACAAGCATTACTTTGCATGGTGGTTTATTCTATTCTTTTTTTATAATTCTAAATAAATACTTTGCAAAAATCTCCAACGTCACCAAGCAGGTATTTCTTTTTAAAAGTTACGCTCTTTTTAAAAAACGTTTAAAAGACATTTAGATCGTAACTTTTAAAAGCAAATGCCCGTTAGGCAGTAAAAGATGTTTTACTGCTTTGTGGTTTAGTTAAAGAGCGTTAATTTATGTTGCTGAACAAAATTATGTTGCTAACTTTTTTCTCTCAATCAAATTTGAAAGAAAAAACCTACTACCTGGTTTTCTTAAAAACTTTTTAAACAGAATGCGGGCCTATATATACATATATATATATATATATATATATATATATATATATATATATATATATATATATATATATATATATATATATATATATATATATATATATATATATATATATATATATATATATATATATATATATATATATATATATATATATATATATATATATATATATATATATATATATATATATATATATATATATATATATATATATATATATATATATATATATATATATATATATATATATATATATATATATATATATATATATATATATATATATATATATATATATATATATATATAAAAATCAAAAAATTTCTATATTTGATCGCCCCACTTTTTTCTTTTTTGTGTGTTTTTTTTCTAAAAAAACGACACAAAGGACTAAAATTATTTTTGATAATAAACTATGTTCTCATTTTTTATAATTTTTTTGTGTAATTTTATTTGATAAAACTTAATCAATAGTTATTTTCAAAAAAAGTTCATATTCAATACCTCCCCCCCTCCCTTATAACCCCTTTAATGTGTTTTTGCTGTAAAATTTTAGAGCAAAAACACATTAAAGAGGTTATAAGGGGGGGGGGGGGAGGTAAATTTTCATTTTTATTTATTACAAAACTATTTGTAACTATAATAACAGTTAATTATATTGGATATAAATAATAAATATATGAAAAGAGTATATTAAGGATTGTTTTACAACAATCCTTTGTACACTCCTTTCATATATTTATTATTTATATCCAATATAATTAACTGTTATTATAGTTACAAATAGTTTTGTAATAAATAAAAAAATGAAAATTTATTAAAAATAAATTTTCACCTGGTTTATGCCCCCCCCCCCCCATCCATTCTAATAATACTTCTGCCGTATGATTTTTTTTCTGCCTAAATAAGAAACTTCATAAAATATAATTTTTTATTAAAACAAAAAACTTGATAAATACTCAATTATTAAACAAAGAAGCAAAAAAATGATTGGTATAAGTTAACAGTATTAAAGCAGAATGGGAAATTAAGAAACTAAGAAATTTTAAAAATCTCTTTTTTAAGTTGTTGAATTGCTTGTTTATTTATGTGAGGAAGAACTTTTCAGTGGTGTTCTACTGCACGTAAAAGAAATTCTTTCTGCTCATCATCTTTTGTAAAAGATGTTGCATAGTCTTAAATTAGTTTAACAGCTCGTTCTGCTGTATCGTTTACAGATTTCAGTGATTTGATATGCTCAAACATGTGACTAAAATTTGTATTAGCTTTCCAAAACTTTGGGGATTTAACCAACCAACCGCCGCCATCATTTGAATATCCGAATAAATTTAGAATGTTACTTGATTTTGGTCGAATTAAATCAATCAAACAAGTACTTTGCTTCAGAAGAGGAAATTGTGGAAAGCCTATATTGTGTTCACAGTTTTCTTTTATACTTTTCAGAATTGTTTTAGCAATTTTTGTTTTATCTCGATCATATAATGTATATATATATATAATATAATGATATGGTATATCAAAAAATAATGAAAGAGGGGACATTTCTTTGGTTAAATACCAAAGATGCTGATTAAATGTTTCCAGGGCAGCAACAGCAACATCATTATCAATTTTTTAATAAATAAGCATTTCTTTGTAGAATTCAAAGTCATTAAATGGGGCATCGACTTTGCTTGTGCACGTAAGCTATATTTTCACATAAAATTGAAAAGTAAATTTACAAAACCGTGACAATTTCTCTATAAAACTTTCTTCATACTCTGCCAGGCCAGCAAAAGCAAACATTTTTGATATGTACAAAATTATACACATCCATATAGCATGATGAAAGGCCCAAGGTTTGTGCCACAGTATATTTATTTGTTTTGGATTATATAATTACAAAGCAAGTTGACAATATTTTTGATAATTATCTCTTCATATTTTTTGAGATTTCTGGTTAAATAAACCAGACAAAAAAATATTACTTCTGCTTGTTTAGTTTTTAGTACTGGTTCTTCAATTTTTATTTTTCTAAAGATAGTATCTTAAGTTAATGAAAGCTTAGGCCATACCTCATTTGTGTCTAAATGGCACATAATTTGAAGATCTACATTCTCCAAAAACTTTTAAGTAAACAGAAGACAATACTCTTTCAAAAATATGGTGTCGGCAGGTGAACCAAAGTAACTTTTTGTTAAAGTGTTCTTCAATTAGCTTTGCAGAACCATTTATCCAGCCTGAATTTGATGGAGTGTTTTTTTCTAGTTTCCATGCCTTTACAGTATCTATGGTAGATATTGCCTGACTTCGCCAAGTTGTATTAGGAACCCTGGATACACACAAATATTTCCCTTCAGGTGTACTTGGTTTTCCTGTTACAACAATATCCAAACGTTCTACTTTATTATCAACCTCAGATACTAGCTTTGAATCCCAGTGAATAGAAGAGTACATGGGTGAAATTAATGTTTTCTTAAGATCATCTGAAAATTGCTGTCAAATTTTATTACCTGATCTGTGCGCTGTGCTTTTTGAGATTGACATTTCATCTAAATTGTGATCTCATGCATCAGTTGCAGCTAAAATGATTCCAGATCTTTCTCTGTTAGATAGATTCAGCCTATCAGCCATTAAGGAAACTTTAGGGTTTTCTAATATCTTGATTTTTTTTTCTGTCTAGCAATAGTACTTTCTTCATTTTTATTATAAGTTTTGTCTTCATTATCAAATGATGCCAATACATTGAAGCTTTTTTCTTCTATGTTTTCCATTCTAGATTTCTCTTTTTCAATAGCCTTGATTTTATGTTTCTCTTTTTCCTCCTTTCTTTTCACTTTTATAGCATAGCTCTTGTCTAATGGGCCCAAAAGTTGCTTTTTTAAGTGACGCTGGTCTGAGAAAAAGTCTAAATCTGAGATCTGACTATTGATACTACGCGAGATATCTTTTTTTTATCAAATTTTCTGCATTTGATGCTGCAATATCAAACAACAATGATAGTTTATTAGTAAAACTAAGAAGTTGAGCTGCATAACATTTTTTTTTGCATTTTTAATCAAGATCTCTCTAAGATGAATCAGATGTAGTATCATTCTGACAATATCTTTCTTCTGTTTTATTGGAATTCCTGCCATTTTCCAAAAAACAATAACTTTTTCCCAAACTATAGATGCAACTTCTTTTTTACCAGTTAATTTCAATTCAAATCTTGTAAGATAAAGATAATGGCGTACAATATCTCCATTTGTCGGTAGTTGACTATACATCTTTGCTTCAAGGGTAGGTAATAATTTACCAATATTATCAAACTTCTCATCATTTTCCCTCAATTTACTATTGCTTATAACTGATCAAATATTTTTTATATATGGTATTATATCTTTAGATAAAAAAGTAGCTATAAATTATAAAATTATTCGAATAATGAATGTAACATTAATATTCATCATAAAAAATTTTCTCATCTCAAGCATTGCGAATAATATTATTTAATAATTTTTGAGAATCATTGAATTGAAACAAATTATATTTACTAATATTAGCTATGATACATAGTTTACAATTATAATAGTGATCAATATTGATACAAAACATATTTAATTGCAATAATACATTTATATATTTAGCCTAAAATCAATTTAAAAGTAAATAAGAAGATTTTTAAAAAACTTTGAGTCAAACTTCAAAGTTTTTTAAAAATCTTCTTATTTTCACTTTTAACAGACAAAACTACACACAAGACTGAATAAAAAATTTTTTTTTTTTTGGGACACTGA